CACACCATACCCATCTCGTGTGACCCCCCTGTTACCAGGGTACGTGTAACCCCGTTACACTACCGGCCCGCGGCAGAACGCTGTAACACGCATTCATTGCGAATCCACTACTTTATTTGATACAGTCAATTCACGACTCAGTCGTGGAATCCGCTACTAGCGTTTTCAAGCGCAAAGGGGTTGTCTTTCACTTTGCACAGAAGAAGCTTCGAGTCAATGAGTCCGCATTAACAAACACACATAGGTTGGGGAAGGTCGCTAAAAACTGGGTAAGAATCTGGTGCCTCTAATATAACAAAGTTATTAGTTAGATTTTTGCTGGCTTCAAACTGCCATAAATTTAGTATTTAGACTTATACCGTTTATACTCTTTCTATCATATCTTAGAATAAGACTACTGTCACGCAAATATATCATGACTCCTCGACAAATGAGTATTCACAATTTCACAAAAGTGCAAGGTAAAATTTGTTTCATTGTACTGTATTGATATGAAGATTTTGGTACAGCACTTGACTGATTAGTTTATCAAAGACGTATTCGGTGACTGCATGCGTTCTTCGGTTCGCGTTGAACTTCAGCATTTTTCTTGTTCTAAAGAAACTCAAACGCGCACACCTGTCGTCGTACTTTTGTGTATGACCACTAAGTATCGAAGATATTTAAACGGAGGTCGATGATCTTTCAAGTATTTTCTATTTGACAATAAAGCCACAAAATTCATGTATGCTATTGACCATTTACCCTTTTAGATCTAATCACTTTCGCCCACCAACGACGGAAGGAGGTACTAACTTTGAAGTTCGCGGTCTCCAGAGCATTTCCCAGTGCTTCCTAGCCGGCACTCTCGCTCACTTAGCAAGTCAGACAGCGCTGTTGTCTACCGCAGACATGAATCACGAACTCTTTAGTACATACTCGTGTACTTCCAGCCCCTCGTCTGACACTTCGACAGGCTTGTATGTAGACCTGGACCCCTTAACGAAAGCAGTGTTCACGGGAAGCGAGAAATTGCCGGCATTGTCGAAAGAGGCTGACATGAGTCATCTGTCTACCTCCAGGAAACAAAAAGGCGTAAAACGCAGCATGGACAGAATGTCGACGATTGTTAGTGGAGACAAGGCGTCGCCCAAAGCGGCAGTGGCCACGTCCATGTTGGAAATGCGCGCGAATTCACAAAGTCTGGTGGCGCACACTTTCCAGGATGGTAAGAGAGTTAGTATTAAACAGAGGAGTTTAGCGCCAGCTGCTGCCAAAAATGAGCGGGCCTTGAACATCAACGTCGCAACGCCCGCATGTGTAAGAAAGACTAAGGTTTCTCGTGAACGGCAACTCAAGATCAATGCAGCGTCGCGACGATGTCGGGAGAAACAAAAGATGGAGCTCCAATTTCTTCGCACTCACGTTGTGGAGCTTCAGGTGGCCTTAAAGGACCAGGTAAATTACCTGCAAAGCCAATTGTCGCAGCAGCAACGGGCGGCGCGACTTTTACACTTCGTGGACAACAGTGTGCGTAAGGTGGATGAGATGGGCTCGGGCATACGGTCCACTCCTGTAGCCATGTCTACTGTACCACTCGTGTCCTTCAGCTCTGATCTACTCCCGTTCAAGACAGAAGACAACAGTGGAGATGATACGGATGGCCTACACAGCAATGAATCCGTGAATCACATTGAGACGGATGACGCTAGCAGTGTTCACACGATCGACCCGGCCACAGGCTATTCACTAACTGAAGAGCGCAAGAATGAATTGCTTCACATTGCGTCGTTTGTACGCGTAAATATTAGCCTTGAAAGCAGCAGCTTTGAACCTGAAGTCATTTCGTGTCTTCCAATTGAAATGGATGGATGGCAACTTCGTCTTGCCATAACGAAGAAAAACTACACGATTCACAATCAAAAGTTTTTTTCCTGTAGCGCTAAGGATATGGTCGACTTTTGTTGGGAGACAAACGTGGCGCAAAAGATCTCCATTAAGCACGCCAAGAAGCATTACGTTGTTGTCACGCCTTTAGACAAGAACACTGCGCACGTGTACTCTAAGACGACGGGAAAATGGTCATTGAACGTGCACGGAGTGCCGAATGTCAGCTACAATAGTATTGTGTGTCGCACATCTATGCCGGAACGACATTGTGCTATCATCTGTCAACAAAGTGTCTTAGAAGAGCGTGATTTTCAGGACGAAAATACACTGCCGTGGCTTTTTAAACGGTGGGTAGTCTTCCGGCCGCAAGTTCAAGACGGCGTTGAAGGCACATTCGTTGAAGCCTACCGCACCGCCAGCTATGCCACTGGACGACCCATTTACAAGGAAAACAAGACGTACGACAGCTTTTGCGAACATTTAATTCGGCGATACACCGAATCGAATTCGCTATTAGAACGTATGATGGCACGTGACAAGCGATTCGCTCACGCGTTCGAGGCTAGCATGCGCTCAGGGATCGGGGATGAATCGGCCACACTCTCCGATTTATTGGTTAAGGACTTGTTGCTCTTCTAAGGCCTCAACCCAATTATGATATAAAGAATTTGGGAATCGTGGTAGATATGTGGAATGTGTAAGAATATAATATATCCTGAAGCAGATGTTTTATCGTTTCTATTGACAACTTCAGAAGAAGTGAGGGCCGCCATGGTGGTGGTTCACATGGCTGAGCATAGCATTGTTTATCTATAGATACATATGTCTGTTCCTAGGCTTTGGCAATGGAGTCCATGTGACGTCGAATGGACGAGGGAGCTCACTGAGTGCCACTTCCTCTTCCGTCATCTTCGCTTCCGCCTCGAGCCACTCGGCAAAGTATTCTTCGACGGTTTCAGATACCTCGAGAACGAGTCTTTTTTTTTTCTTCTTGCTTTCGTCCTCTTCAGCCCCATCTTCTTCCTCCTCATCTTCATCGTCATCCACGCCGAGAAACAGCGAATTCTCTTCATCTTGAACATCGCCTTCTTCATCACGCTCCGATTGCTCCATTGTTTCTTTTCCTCGAACCTTGTCCTTATTCTTAGCCTTGATATGCAAATTTTTTTTAAGCTTCACGAATTCATTAAATCGAACCGCGTCTCTATTCGACATTGGACGACGACATTTCATTTTGCGCACGTGATCATGTAGCAAGTCAATAACTTGTGCAGCCTCGACAAAAGACGGAAATTTTAGATCCAATCTACCGTTCGTAAGCATGACACCTCGTGGCACCAAGCCAGAGACTTTCATGTTTAAACCAGCTTTTTCAAGAATACAATTCACTTCATCTACCACCTGGCCCACCGTAGCTCCGTACGGTACATTCATAAGAGTGACACCCGAGCGCTCATCGGCTGGTGATGAGAAGACGGGACGGTACTCGTTCCACCCTGCCATCATGACGCCAAAGATCTGCAAGGCACGCATCGTAGCCTTTCGACAAGCGGTTTCTGACTCAAATTCCACCACAGCTTGATATGGGGTCTTCTTATCACTCGCAATGATCTTATCTTTGTACTTTGACATCTGCAAAGGTCTCAATTCTTTGCCCTTGGGCAATGATTGATCTTCCTGGATTTTTTTTATTCGATTCCTTTTCTTTTTTACTTTTTTCTTATCATCATTATCGGGGTCTTCATCAATTTCATCCTGCGCTAATGTTTCACCATTTTTCTCATCTTTTTCGTCAATATCGTCTGCATAATAGGCCTCCGGTGGACCATTGATGGGGTTAGCAAAAAGAAAAAAGCGTTTGACACCTCCTACATGAGCAAGTGCTTTCTCCAAGTGCCTCTTTGTCACACCATGCGGCAAATTGCGATAGAATACGCAGCGAGATGGCTGCCATACAGCTTCCAGGCGGTCGCGGCCTGCGTCGTTCAGCGGCTCTAGCACACCTCTTCCGCGCAATAATCTCCGTGAATGACGAAGTTTCACACGACAAATAGTTAACATTTCCACAGACAATTGCTGGTATACTTCCTCAAACATAGGCATAATAGTCACCGAATCGCGAGAACCCAGCGTCTTTCGCACATCAGATAGAAACGTTTCTCCAAACGTTGAACGATTCGGTCGCCAGGCAAGTTTATATTTGAGAAAGCGGGTAAAAAACATGTGATACTTGCGGTCATCCAGCACCGATACAATGTTCCATGCCGTCGTGATGACCTTTTCGTGCTGCATTGGACTCAGTTTTCTTGAGATCAATTCACTTGGTTCCACTTCGTCGATATCATTGATTAAAATGTGTCCGACACGCATGCGCGTTTCTAACAAAGCACGAATCATGGCTTCATTCCGCATCTGATGGTGCTGTAGTGCACTTGTCGCAATGGTGGAGTCAAAGTCGTTATATGTTGCGTTATCACCAGACAAAAATGGCACGAGCTCGGATAGCAACTGCTCATGATACGCGTCCGGGAATGCCGTCTGGATGTTGCACACCATCTCCTGAAAGATCTTGCGGTGCAATTTGGACGTCTTGACAGATGCGAGCATCGCCACGAGCATCTTTGAAATTGTCTCGTTCGACAGCTCGGTCTTCATAAAGTCCACTATTCCCTGTGTTTGGGACAGCAACATTCGAAAGTCAATACGATCATTTTCAAGATTAAATTCCTCCCACTCGGCATCCACCGCGTCGATACTCCCGCTATCGTCGTCCTTCGTCTGCTTTTCTAATCCCAACATGTCAGCGTAATGCGGAAATCCCTCCATATCCAACACCTTGCGAAAGTCAGACTTAACTTGCCATAAACTCGACTTAGAGCCACGATTAAAACCCGCAGCAGGTCGCTGCATCAGCTTAAGCGAGTTCAAACACGCCAGTCGGCAATAGCAGAAAACAATGCTTACAAACGTTGGTTCAGCTACCATATCTGGGTGCAATCCTATAATCTTGGGTACAACAAAGTCATCGGGTGAGTCAGTATTTGCGTTTGCTTCCAAAGTAACTCTTTTATTCTTGTCTTCTCTATCGACGGCACCCCGTCGCGAGTCAATCTCAAGATGATCAATCACATCGTCATTGCCTTGCAAGAATGCGATCATATAAGCATATTCCTTTGCGTAGTTTACTCCAAATCGCGACTCCAAAGAACGTAAAAATTGCTTTCTGGAGAGACCTGTGACGCGAGGTAGCGTCGCGAACTGAGCAATGCGATGAATAACCTTACCAATCTCTAATTCTGACATAGAGTGCCGCAGCACCGCCATTATTCTTTCGGCTTTAGCGGTCGCTTCTGCTCTTGATTCCTCGCGAATGCTGTCATCATCGAGCTGTTCAGTACGCTCCTTGAGCTCAGCATCGCTGATAGGAAAGCCAATACGCTGCGCCGTGAACTCAATGTCCTGAGGCTGCTGACTTTCTACCTGATGTGAGGCCAGCAGCTGAAGAGTACTGGCTTGCGCGTAGCTGTCCATGCTGTTGTAATGGTCATTGATCGCGCCATTCACATGCTCTAACCCTGAAAAGGGCGCCACTGACCTTCCCAGAAGACGCTTTGCTGGGTTTGATGCATCATTCAATGTACGGGAAAAAAACTGAGATCTTTTACGGTAAGCAGTTTGAGCCTGCAGACGCAGCATCGTCGGCCGGGTAGGATGCAGAATGCGCATCAGGCAGCTGAGCTACGTTGGCCAATGGTGTCTACGAAATGTTTTTTTGTGTACTCCTATGTTTAGGTTACACAAAGACTAAAGTGTGGTATGCAGTTTGAAAAGGCATAAGACAAAATGACGGAGGACTCTCGAAGTAACAAGTTGAATCGTGAGCTACTGCGCTGGATCCAAAGTCTTGACCTGGCCTACTCCATCAAAAACGTCAAGAGGTGCGCAGATTTCAAACATTGTTACGTACCAGTAATTATTATGGTTGAAATTATTAGAGACTTTGCCAATGGATTCTTGGTGGCCGAGATTTTGTCTCGATACTACGACAAGGACATCAGCATGCACTCATACGAAAACGGTATCGGAAAGAAGGCCAGAAAGGATAACTGGGATCAGTTAGTCAAAGTGTTTGGTCGCTTTGTCGATCTGGAGCCTTTGATCATTAAAAATGACATCGACGCCGTCATTCACTGCCAAAACGGAGCCGCAGTTGCGTTCCTTACGAAGCTCTATCAGTGCTTAACGAAGCGTACTATCCAGTCTACACTTATAAGTCAGCCTCATACATCAGGTACTGATGATAATGCGGCCTGTGCGAGCATAGCTAGAAGTTTAAAAACGCTGGAAGAGATTCCACCATATGCGAAGCCTACCAATTCAACGTTAATTCGAGACAAGATGCGAGAATCCAACCTCGCCGAGACACAAGATCAGACGCAACTTCACCGCAAGGTCCGAGAGATTTACTCGCAGCACGAGGAAATGCACCAGCTTGAACGCTTGATGGTAAGCACGCCGGAACATAATTCGGCACTTAATAGTGCCAGCAAAGCCACAATGTTGCGCGGAGCAACGAAAGCTGTATGTAATGAAGGCTCTACCCCCGTGTTGATAACACAGCAGATTGTACGTGAGGTACAGATCAAAACTGCCAACCACCAAGGGTTCGATAAATTACGCGCTACACGAGAAGCGAAGGAGACTGGATTGCTGGATCCTTTGGACTCACGGTGTAATAATGAAGACGCTCGACGTGATCTTGCTTATTGCAGAGTGAGTAGTAAGAGTGACACTTATAGTATGGAGACAGCTCATAGGCGCCGGCCCTTCGATCTGCTGAATGAGAAAGTAGAGCGCCTGATTTTTGATACAGAACTCACGCTTAGGCCACATGAAGTCAAGGAAAAGTTTGAATGGTTTATTAATGCTGCGTACGAAGGACAATGGCTTAATGAGCAGCAATTTGTAAATGTTTTTCAATGTGCACAAGAGGAAGCTGAACTACTTGGCCTGGGTTTTCTAGACTTTCCAAGAGATTTCTGGAAATTTATTGGTCTCATGTATCCTTTCCTCTCAGAATATGACGAATCGCACGTATTCTTCCAGACAGCAATAAATTTTTTCGTGCTGTTGGGGCAGCAATGTGCATGTCGAGAAAAGGCAGCTGCTTCACTTCTTATGCCTGAATATATGCTTCCAAAATTGACGACAATTCTTCGTCGAGATGCTATCAAGCGACCAATGTTACTACGTACAGTATACGCGTTTGTGCCTAATACGGTGCTAGCTCATATCCAAACGATTAAGTACTTACGCGAAGCGATGGCTGATAATATTCCGCTTTTTATCCACATTCTAACAATTTTAGTTGGTATGGAAAGTGAACTGGATGAAACACTTGTGGACCTATATTACTATTACTGCAGCATTGGACTTGATACACCCTGTGAGAAGCTCCGTGCTGCGTGTTTGTCCATGTTAATGTCTTTCTTAAATTATGATGTAAAGCTCGTTGCGGATTTATTGCCACGTTTAACCCGATTTTCGTCACGACATGCGTGGTGGGAAGTGAAAGCACAGCTTGTGATTATCGCATCTGCTTTACTTCGCGTCGCATCCCCTCAGCAAAAGCACGAGGAAGATGACGCCGATGGAAGCATCGCAATATCAAAGATATCAACAAACAAATTTTCAGAGCAAATTGAATTGTGTTTAACCATCATCGAGCGAGAGTTTCATCCCAAAGCAAGTTTAAATATGAGGCGTATCGGTCTGTCATCTTTGTCGCAAAACCTTGAGCGATACCAGGAGCTTGTTCCCCTTTTTGTCGATGTATTATTGAGTCTCCCTGTGGCTGTACGTCACACGATGCTAGCGACTGCGAATACTGATCCTTCGACTGAGTCTACAAAAATAGGTGCAACCGGAATTGAACATCAGTTGCCGATTCGAGGTGCATCTGGAGTGATATATCAACTTGTGCCGTTGATCACAAGCTGGGACTCGGTCGCAATTGCAAAACAGCTGTACTATGAGCACCAAACTAGCATTGAGGCCGACTCAAGTGTCCTTCATGTAATGTTTAAATGCTTCGAGCATTTATTAAACACAGGCAAACAAAGCAATGTGTGGTTGCTTTACGACCAGATGAAAGATTATATCGTTACCGGGTTTGTCAAGGCCACAACATGCGAGCTCAGTGCCAGCATCGTCACTATTGCTCTGACGGCTTTACGCGATAGTGAGACTGATGTTTTCCAGCACATTGCGCTCGTCAAATCTGTGCGACAAGTTATCACGATGAATAATGAGGACCTACGTCAACAAACAATTGTCAAGATACTGCAAAATGTACGCAACACGAGTCCTGTGCGGGCAAAGCAAGTCCAGCGCTTTGTGACGACAATGCGCTCGAAGTGCGACGCTGATACATACAAGTCGTCGCTTTTTTCGACTGCATTTGGGAACGACGTGTAAAATGATCAAACACTTTAAACAAAATATTATACTTGTCACCTCTCACTACAAACACTAGCATTTTTACTACTATATGATCATTACATTGACAAAGAAGTTGCAATCGCTTTTTGCAATACCGGCTATGCAGTAGTCAATCCTCGAATGCTCTCTCTTTCAAGCTGTTTGTATGATTGTTACTGCAGCATTTGCATATGCACAGACTGAGGCTCCATTCCCCAGCATCGTTGGGATAGCGCCACCGTTAAAGGCCAAGCACACGGGATAGTTAGTCATGGGTGTCGAAATTCTTGCCTTGGAAATCGTGCCTCGATCATTGTAATTTGCATTCATACGTATAAGCTCTGAAGTCGGATTGATATTCACAACCCCATCGACAACCACAGCACGTTTGACCGGACCACACGTGCCGCAAGATTCAAACAACCTACCAGAATTGATCATGTAAAAGCCGCCACTAATAACGACGGTACCCGAGGCTTGGCCAAAGATGATTCGACGCGCAACATTTCGAGCACCTCCTCCTGTGACCGTTGTGATACCTGTTCCCGAATTTATGTGAAGCGCTCCTTGTACGGAATCCTTAAACCACACATTCACCAGCGCACAATTGTGCGTCTCGCAGTATACTCCACCACCACCCGCGATAATCACGTTGCTAAGTGTCCCACCGGCTTGAACAACAAAAACGGCATCTGCTCTCCTCATCTTGACACCCGATTGATACGCCACATTGCTGCGCTTAAAGGTTCTCATACCACCATCAAATGGCGTGTCAGGTCTCACCGTCCTAGGACTTAGGAGTGCCACCACTCCCATTGATAGTGGCCATGCACCGATAGAACGCTCCTCAGCTGCTCCTGTCATGACCTTCCCAGGGTCGTAATTATTCGCGTTTGCCGTAATCACTTGACTTTCAATCAATTTGCGATTCTCTCTACCCAGATCGAACGCCATTGCCTCGCTAACTTTTAGTGAGGTCACCGCTAGGCCATAATCAACAACAACGCAACATGCTTCGTATTGGGATTTAGGCTCTAATTCACAGCACAACGGTCCATACCTTGCCCGGCGAATGCGCTACAGATGAACAGCAGCACACATAGCTGCGCCATGTAGTTGCAAGCCTGTCCTACGCGTTTGTTCCAGATAAGCCCCAGGTCGTTTGTGGTCAAGCTACCACTCTTTCTCTGACTGGGGTAGAGCAAATAGCTTGCAAATCGACTTTTACCTCGGAATCCAGAGAAGGGGTATAAGAGGTTGTCCTTTTGCAGAAGCCTCTACGGAGAAAGACTTATTAACAATTCATTCACCCCATGATATCATGCGATGTGCTTCATGTTTCTGGTTGTTGTATAACAGTATAACAAATCGCACTTTCAATGCTAAAGGCTCGGTTTATGAAATAGTCGTACTTAAATGGATGATGGATAGTTCGATGTTTAAAAGCATGTACTTTGGCTTTTTGTTGAGGACGCAGACGACTGGTTCTGTACAAACATGTGCATAGACGACATTCGTATAAAATAAGCGGTCTTTCCACACAGGTCGATCGAGTCTTATACAGAAGCGGTTTTCACGCGCTTGGTAATGAGGTTCGACGTATGTAACGGGATTTCACGTACCCCTGTATGAAGAGATGGGTGACACAATATGGTGTGCTTACACCTGCCAGTAGTTATGCACTTTAACTAGGTTCTACTGTTTAATTAGGAAAACCTAAAGATTTCGATATAGGCTTTGCCGCAAATAAAACGAAAGAAATAGAGTTTACATTATGAACGGAAGAGTTTATTTGCCTTGAGTTAAGGTTGTGGATACTTTTGGAGTAAGCGGATTGCGATCCGATACACTGGTACTGGTTCTAGTATAGAACGTAAGGTCGGTGACCTTAGCTTAGCTTGCTTTAAGCAAAAGAGCGCTGCACTTGGTAGCACTCGTAGTCAATCTACACCTGAGTCGTTGCGACTGATCCTCTTTGAGGATGGAGCAGATCTCCTATTCGCCTCAGGGCATGCAGGTCGGGCTTAAAAAGATGATGTCTCTGCTTCGCCCTGAGGGCGTGCAACACCACGCTTCGCAGGGACCTGAAGCGAACATCGAGGCATTTTCGAGCTATAAAAATGCTATGCTAGAGCACCTCCAGCAAAATATGTCGGCGTCGACTGCGTCCATGATGCAACAGTCGACGACATATGGCTCCTCTCGATTCAGACCGCTCATGATGAACGTTAAGACCCTCGAGGGTACGGATGCGCTTACAATAGGCTAAACGCTGCCACCATTCCAGCACAGACGCCGATTCTTAGCTAGGATAATCTCCGGAACGATAAGGTTGGCTGTACAAAGTACAGCGCACTCGACTTGATCGATGGGTATTGCCAATTGCTCATGAGAGCAAGTAATTTTTCCGCTGCCAGCGGTGAGTCTTCCCAGCGGAATGCTCTGGGAGTGGCTGATGATGTTCCAAGGACTGTTCAATGCACCCGCGACATTGAAACGTCATGTGATGCACTTGTTCAGGCCCCACTGGGCGTATGCACAAACATACTTCGACGACATCTTCGTCCACGTCGTGCGGGGCACGGAAGAACAGATGACGAAAACCACATCATTCATTTGAAAGCGGTCACTTGGTGCTGGGTACCAAGGTGACTATGTCAATAGTGGAGCATCATGGTCAAACTGAGCGCGTGAATCGCGCCGTCGAGGATGTCCTTCGTAGCGTCTGCGCTCAGACTCTGGAACCCTGAAGCCCCATGCTACCACTCGTAGAGTTTGCTCTAAACGATGCAGTGCATTCATCTACCGGCTACACGCCGTTCTACGGGACGGGCTTGTTTATCATTGCGTCCCGGTGACGCCGCCATGCAATGGCTCAGGACTTGGTGTGGGAGGAATAGCCGAACGGCTAGCTGATGTCAGTTCCCACACTGTCCGTAAAGAAGTCGATGACTTCTTGTGTACTGAGCGTTCTATGACACGTTCGCGATGCGATGGCTAAAGACAAGACATGCAGAAAGAATATGCAGATGAAAGAAGCAGAAGAATTGTTGAAAACTTTGAGGTCAGAGACCTGGTTTTACTAAATACAAAAAATCATCGTACGCATGCAGTCTCTGTTGTCTTTGAGACAAAGCTCCGTCCGTGGTTTATCAGACCTTTTAAGGTCGTGGCCAAGCGAGGATTTGCGTATATGGTAAGCCTTCCGAAAAGGATGCGCACCCCCCAGGTGTTTAATGTGGGCTTGCTTAAGCCGTCCCGGGATCCGGCGCAAGTGAACGCAGAAGCGTTGGCGCTGAGGCGATGCCCAATGGCGCACGGCCGCCCAGAAGTTGAACCAGCAACTGGTTTTGAGCACGGAGTGCAACGACCTCCGTTTTCAACGGCGCCAGGCGGTCCACTGTCGCACGAAGTTACGTAATCGTCTGCTCGATGGCTAGGTCACCGGGCGGTGATAGACCAAATCGTCATCGTCCGCCGCCGACTCTTCTCGATAAGAATGGTGGCGTCTACTACCACGTGGAGCGCCTTGTGGGTCGACGTCGACGACAGGGTCGAGCCCAATTTTTTGTGAAGTGGCTACTCCGACTCCGAGAATTTGGGGGAGTTTGAGGTCCACTTCGGCAAGACTGCCCAGACGTCGTGGACGCTGATGGTCAATAGGATTATGACGCTTCGCGTCGTCGGGTACCCCGTGCTTCTCGGCAGTAGCCCGGGAGCCAGAGGGCTGTGAGCTAAGCTCAAGCTAGTGTCTTGAGCCGATGTGACAGTACGCTCACCCGCGTGAGAAACTACAGTGCTCGCGGGAGCGTGGATGATAACTTTATATGTCACAGGGCGACAATACGCAGGTAGTCGGCGTTGCGCCTTGAGTTTGGAAAACTCGAAACGAAGATGGCGTTCTACGCGCACGTCCATATCCTCGAGGCTCTGCTGTAAGTGAGACAGTAAGGGTAGTTATCGGAGCCGCTGCACCCATCGCTCGAATAGATTCTCATCATATGCAGCGGTTTCGACAGGGGCGAGCACCACAGGTTTAGTCCGCATTGCGGGAACAGGAGCGCTATTTGAGTCCGAAGTCGAGCGCGGTACCTACCATTAGGATATTTTAGGTACCAAGAAGAGAGCTCGGAGGGCTGTCCGCTCGTCAAGCTCAGCTTGTGTGGTGGCCGAGGACCCGGTCACGTTGACTCCTAACGATCGGTTGATCGCGTTCCTCGCTTCAGTAGCCAGATCCGCCGAGCGAAAGCCATATTCGACACAAGGGTTTAGGACCGACCGTGCATATCAGTGTGTGAGAGCCACCCTGTGGGCAGCCCTCAACCGCTGCTCCTGGGTCTCGTCGAGGCGATTGAACAGTGAGGAAGTTGGCAACAGCTAGCCGTTCGGCTAGTCTCCTCCCCGCCAAGCTCTGAGCCATTGGGGGTCGCGTCAGCGGGACGCGAGAGAACGAGTTCGTTCACGTGGAACGGTGTGTAGCAGGTAGACGCATGCACTGCATTGATCAAAGCAAACTTGCAAGTGGCAGCATGGATTCGACGTCTCGCTGCAATGTACGTCTTGGACGACGCGTTTCACGCGCTCAGTTTGACCATTGGTCTGGGGATAGTCCGCTGTTGACATAGTCAACTTGGTGCCGAGAACCTTGAAGATCGCCGACCAAAACTTTCCAGTGAAGCGTGGGCCTCCGTCAGAGACGATTGACCCTGGGAGTCCATGTTGTCGAAAGACACGATCGACAAATAGCATCGTCAAACCGACATCGTCGATGAGCCGCACGATGAGCCATTTTGTTTAATTGGTTTACAAAGACCGCCACACTTGTGGTGCCTGTTGAGTCCTTCGGCAGGCCAAACACAAAGTTCATACTCATGGACTGCAAACACCCGGAGCATACCTGCAAACTGGATAGTAGCGCAGCCGCAGTCGGAGAGGGTTTCACCCTTCGACACGTCTCACATGTGTGCACATACATTTATAGAGCTTGAGCCACCAGTAGTTGCAGCCCACAAAGCTGTAGGTCTTCTCACGACCGAGATGACAACTGAGTGGGGTGTTGTAAGCCTCATAGAGGATACAGTATTTCAAATCCTCGTCGCGAGAAACCACAATTCGTGGTGTACCCCTCGAGCTTGCGCTATAATACAGCAACCCGTCATTCAACGAATACCGGTGCGCGCGATCGCACCAACAACGTCTTGTCCGAGTTTCCGTACTCTTTGTTCCCGAGAGCCTGTAGCAGCGCTACACATATACCATCACCCGCGTATGCGACGCGGATCAAATCTGTTACTGAAAACGTCACCGTCGTGACAAGAGCTAGCTCATAATCCGGTCTGCATGACAACACATCAGCCAAGCATTCTGCTTTCCTGGCTTATACTTTACCTCGAAGTATTACTATGCAAAGAAGGAGAGCCACCTGGCCATCTTCTGCGAGAGGTGAGGCGACTGAGTCGCAGTGCGTAGTGACGCATGATCTGTGTAGATCACTAACGGCTTGGAGCCGAGCAGGTGCACCGTGAACAAGTGCATACTTCACATCGCAAGTAATATCTTGTCGTGGACTGGGTAGTTCTTCTTCGCAGCCTTGAGCTGGCGTAATTCGAACGCGATCACCCGATCTCTCCCTTCGGCGTCTGCTTGCAGCAGTGCACAGCCGATGGCAAAGTCCGAAACATCACAGGCGACACTAAAAGGACGATCGGGATCTAGCAACGCCAGTATTAGTGCATAAAGGAGGCTGTCTTTGACCCTTCCCGATGTTCGGTGTTCCAGCACCATTCCGTATCCTTCTAAAGGAGTTCGACAATTGCCGTGCCATTTCCGCATAATTTTCGCTGTACTTGTGTAAGTAGTTGGCAAGGTCAAGCCACTTGCGCAAGTCCTTTTGGTTCTATAGAAGCGGCCAGTCCACAGTGGCCCTGACCTTAGCGGAATCCGCTCGAAGGCTACGCCGCCCAATTTAATACCCTACAAAGGGGATTTCTTCCGCGCTAGATTCACTTATCTTCATTAGCATACGGCTTATTTGAGGGCATGTACTCGAGCACCGCTCTCAAATGAATGATGTGGTTTTCGTCATCTGTCCTCCCGTGCCCCGCACGACGTG